ATGAAGAAGTTCGCCTCAAAGAATGGCCTGCCCAGAAGGCGAAACTATGACAGTTATGTGCGTTGCATTCTGGACACACGCCGTGCAGCTGATCCGAGCTCAATAGGAGATGTTCAGTTCCGCCTTTGAGCGACTTCCACAGCGGACGTGGTATGAACTGTTTGTTGTCTCTTGCCTGCGTTATCTTGCTGCGGTGCCGTTCAGGCGGAGCTCAAAATTCTGAGGTTGATGTTAGATGAGGCTCCACTGAACAAGTTCTCACTGAAATGAAGCGTGTTAGTACTTTGGAAAGAGAGCCGAAAATGCACCGTGAAGTGTGCCGGTTTAGTCGATCACGTCGCGCATGGTCGCCATCATCATCAGGACCATTTGCAGCAGCACCACCGCCAAACGCAGAACGTTTCAATCACATCGCTTGCCACTGTGGAGCCCTCCTTGTAGCGTACTTTCGAGCTTTGGATCGGTAGCTGCCGCAGGGTTCGCAGAGGCCGCACAAGGTACGGTACAGCTTGTGAGGTATCCTATGGGTCCAAGGAGGCTTACATATGGCCACATGCAGATACCACTGCCAACAGCAGCAAGAGGACTTGAATCGTTGCAGATGCACAGGCTTTCTGGGCGCAGACCTTGAACACCGGATTTGCCGGGGCCTTGCAACGGGGAATGCAGGGGCACGATGCAAAGCCTTGGAGAAGGAGTACTCGTAGCGTCGTAGCGCAAGCAGTAGTGGCAGCAGCAGCCGTAGGTCGTAGGACGGTCGTAGTTGTAGTCGCAGTCGTAGCTGTGTCGTAGCGTGTTTTATTTGTATAGTGCAGAACTGTAGTACTCGTACAGCAGCAGTAGTAGTAGTAGTAGTAGTAGTAGTTGTTGTTGTTGTAATCAGTAGGAGGCGCATGAGCAGTAAAGCAGGAGCGGGAGCCGCAGCGGCAACAGCAGAAGTATCGGTTTGGAAGTGGTAGCCATGATCGAATGTCGAGAGGAAGTATGCAGTGTTTTCTCCGACAGCACGAACCCGAGGTTCTCTTCTTCGTGAACTACTTCGCACCGGATGCGCCTCCTTTCCAACACGACTTGCCAACTCCTTTTTATAGGGCTCTTAATAATTAGAACAGGGTTTTGGGGCTCACTATACTGTAATTGTAAGCCTCAAAATAGTATTGTGTAGAAGTCTGCTGTCATGATGATAGCTTCACGAAGGCGTTTCTGGCTGAAGTATGACTTCAGGAGTAGAGCATGTGCACATAAGACAGTGCATGTTGCCATCTTGAGATACTCAGAATAGATCAGGCTTTCGCTGTGGAGGAAAGAAGGTCTTGCATGCGCCCATGGTCTTTTCTTGAATTCACCCAAGCCTTTGAATGCTGGGTACCATGTCAGCTTATCATTCTCCTATAAGCCCTGCGAACGAAGAAGAACCCCTTGATCAAGATCATCGTCAACAACAGGTTATGCAAGCCCAAGTGGCTCCAAGCGTTACTCAGCTTGAAGGAGAGACATCAGGGCCGAATTACGGAGGTGCAGCTGTCAACCAGCCGCAAAGGACCCAAGAAAGGCTGTTGAATGGGGTGGAACGAGGACTGCGTCAACCAGGCCGGGAGGGATCTTCGCAGACTTTTGTGGAAGAGCCTAGATCGAGCGGTGTGCGTGACAGTGAAGCAACCGGCAGTCGACCAGTCGTTGTTGAAGGCGTTACAGAGAGTGGACGTGGAACTGCTGTGATGGACGGGGTTGAGGGTAGCATCGGAGTACCAGAGGGTTCGCGTGCGCACTCAAACCCGCAAGTGTATGCAATCCACACACCACCTCCAGCACCACCTTCACAAGCACCGCAGCCACCGCCCATGCAGCAGCAGCTACCGGAAGGGCGAGATTTACCTGAGCAGCAGCAAGACAACACACAGCCGCAGCCACTGAGGACTATGACTCCGTTGACTCCTCGGATGGCACCTACACAGTGGCAGGGAGAAGGCAATGAGTGGGAGCAACCTGGTGTGGGTATGGTGCAAGATCCTAGAGGGCAATGGTTTGTTTACAACCGGTTTGCGTCCCAAAGTGATCCTCCTCCTTTACCACCAGGTTTGCGAGATGAGTCGGAGCGTACGGGCATGTGGTCGGGTTTGGCAAGAGCGGGCCAGGCCTTGAGAAGACGAATGATTGGCTCGGCGGCATCATCGCCGCATCCTCCCTCGGAACCATTGCCACCTCAGCAAGCGAGTCTCATGCAACCCTCAATGGCTAGAGCTATGTATGAGTGGACTGCGCGAACCTCTTTGATCAGCCCAGGTCCTCACCCACCGCGTCAAGGTCAGGACCAGATGAGTAACACCAGTTCGATACCGCAAGAGCTGATCATGCAGGAGGTTCGCAACCAGGTTCGTGAAGCCATGAGGGAGAAGGAGCTTGAGATGAACAGTTTGAAGGGCCAGAACCGTGAGCTGCAGGAAGCCCTCCAGAGCTCTTTGAAGGCTTTGGAAACGGCGCGCAGGGGCGGTGAGGATCGTGGCCAAGAACGCTCTCCATGGGCTCCCGTGGAACTTCGAGGCAAGGAACCTGAAGGGCAAGGCGGGCAAGGAGAGCGGGGGCGTCTACATGATCTTCGTGAGCACCGCCTACGGCAAGAACAGCTGGAAGGAAATCTCCCGGGATCGGGCCTGACACGAGATGTGGGCAATCGAGGAGGAGATCCTACCGGTCTTCGTTATGGGGATGTTGGAAGCTCGGGCACCAGAGCTCAAGGGGCCGATGGTGATGAGCCCAGGCGACCCATGATGGAGGGAGAACGAGGTGACCCAGGGGATCCTCTACAAGTGTTGGCCCAGGGCATGCGCCAATTGCAGTTGGCGTACATGGGCAAGTCTGAGAAGGACTCCGATGTGAAGGGCAACGTTGATGTGCCAGCGATGCCGGAGGTGGGCACTGAGAGTGCCGTTGAGTTCTCGGACTGGGTGTACGAGACAGAGCAGGCTGTGGGAAGCCTATCGGATCAGGCTTCAACCTGGTTCGGTGCGTGCTTGGAGTTAGCCAGAAGGACGTATGATGAGTATGTCAATGCCACCCCGATTGAGCGGTTGACCTTGGATGTTGTGTTGCCGGAAGAGTTGAGGGCGCCACGCTGGGCCAGGCTCGAGAAGAAGGTGATGATGCTCCTTTTGGGAGCGATGACCAGGACTGCGAAGGACGATGTGATCACCCATCGGGTCAGGACGGTGCCGGGGGTTTTGTACAGGATGCACGTGCTTTACCAACCCGGAGGGGCGTCAGAGCGAGCGGCAATCCTACGTCAGCTCGAGGGCAAAGCAATGGGAGAAGGAGTTCATGATTGCATAGCAGCCCTACGAAAATGGAGAAGGTATCTTCAGAGGGCAGAGGAGATGGGTGTGACGATTCCGGACGCGAGCATCCTTTTAAAGAGTGTGGAGCTGATCATTGAGCGGGCCTTGGAGGTGAATGGAGATGTCAAGTTTCGGTTATCGTTGGTCAAGAATGAACTACAAGTGCAGAGTCGACCCACTACCGCTAACGTCATCCGCTTCTACAACCACGCCTTGGCCGAACTCCAACAATCAGCGCCTGCAAGAGTCAGCAGAACTACGCCAGCTACCTCATCTACTACGACTGAGACAGCAAAGCTGAAAGCAGTTGGCCATGCTTCTGGTGGAACAGGAGAGACTACTTCCCCTACTACCTCGAGCCCGCGAAAGGGCAACAAGGCACCCTGCAAGTTCTTTCAGAGTGACTCAGGTTGCAAGCGCGGGCAGCAGTGTAAGTTCGACCACGTCTTCGATGGCAAGGAGGCAAAGAAAACCCGATGCTGGGAATGTGGAGCTGTGGGCCATCGAAAGCCAGATTGCCCAGTGGCGTTGAAGAACAAGAACCCAAAGCAGCGAAGCGGCCAAGAAAATGCACCCTCATCGACTACAACTATGCCAGTGGTTGCGACAGCTAAGGCACCATCGCCAGCGGCTCCAGTCGAGTCTACAACACAGGAGCCGGCATCGTCATCTTCTACAATGTCAAGAGAAGAGGCCAGAGCAGCAGAGGAAGGCCAGGTGAAGGCCCTTCTCCAGGAAGCGAATGCGATGCTGAGCAAGCTTGCCAAGCTGACGCCCATCAAGGTTGTCTCGGACGAAGAGCTGGAGGAGATGACCTTGGCTATGAGCTCCTTGGAGAATCCAAGGGACGAACGAGCAGGCCTTTTGGACACTGGTGCGTCACACTCGTTTCGTGTGCCGGTGAACCTCGATGAGGAAGCTACAGCCGTACCGGTCAAGGTGGAATTAGCGGGAGGACAATACATCACCCTGAAGCAGAACAGGGCGGGAACGCTCTTGGCTACCAAAGATGTGGAAGGTGCTGTGGACTCCACTCCTATAATACCGCTTGGGGCCTTGGTGCAACAGTTGGGTTGTGATTTGTCCTGGACGAGAAGCAGGGGGTTGATAGTATCTCACCCACAGTTTGGAGAACTACGCACTTTTGTCCGAGGAAACCACCCGATGATTGGAGAAACTCAAGCCCTCGCCTTGATCGCGCAGCTGGAGGACGTGAAGCTTAGAGAGCTTGAAAACAACGTGGCGGGCACCTATGTCAAGATGATGGACATTGAAAAGGCAAAGGAGTGGGACGTGTGCATGGCTAAGTACGCCCAGACAGGTCAAAGAAGTCACGCGCTGGAGGCCCTGGTTTCCGGGTACTCCCCAATGGGCCCCCTGACACCAGAGATGGCGGCGCTGATTGCCATTGATGTGAAGATGGACAACAAGAGTGCGTGGAACTACGTCAAGGCACTTCCCATTCGCCGTTCGTTGAGGGAGACTATGATGGAAAAACGGTGGGCTGTGCGCCTCTTTGCTCAAGAAGGGGACACCGAGGTCAAAGCCTTGGACTCCGGAGAGGTGATCTTTGTGGACATCAATGTGAACCGGAGCAAGCTATTCAACCTACGTGGAGAGAGCCCAGCGTACAAGGCTTTGATGTGGGCAGCTTTGAACGGAAGGATCGAGGGCTTGTTTGGCGCGGTCCCTAGCAACTTTGGTGAGGAGCTGAGAACCAAGATGATGTGGCTTTGGATGGTTACCAAGGTTGTGAACCAGAGCTGTGATCTCCTGCCACCGTACCTTGCTATGGGGGGTAAGGACAATGAGGTGTTCTGGACCAGTGAGCAATGGAAGGCGTTTCAACATGAACACCAGCTGCCTTTAACGCAGGCCATCGACCCCAACAGCGGCAATGCGTTTCTGGTGGCTACAAACCTACAGCTACCAACGGAGAGACCAGCAGACGGCGTTCGCCTTCGGCATTCAAGAACGTGGACTCCCGTCTTCTACCAAAACCTCGTGGAGGCCATTAAGCACTGGCGGCGGTTCCCCAATGGTTTGGCGATCTCAAGGATGATAAAGAAGATGGATGGTCCCTTGCATTCCATGACGGAGGCAGAGAAGGCGAAATGGATGCGACATCTACGAAACAACCACTTGCCGTTCGAGAAGAGGTGCAGGACCTGCATAGAAACCAGTGCAACCGGACGAGCACACCGGAGGGTTATCGCCCCATCGTGCTATGTGCTGTCATTGGACCTGTGTGGACCCTTTCGTGTAAAGGGGGAATACGCGGGGGCAAGGGGCTACAAGTACGCCTTGATCGGTGCCTATGTGATGCCGAAGCTCAGTGGCTACAAGGATGCACCAGTCGAAGAACCCGACCCTGAGGAGGAGGCGGCTCTTGAAGAAGATGATTGGATGGAGGAGATCCCACAAGGAGAAGAGCCGTTGGATCCAAAGGATGAGGCGGAGCTCAAGAAGTCAAAGGAGCGCTATGAGGAGCTCTTGAAGGGCATTGGCGATTCTATGGAGTATCAGGTCCTCCACTATGCGATCCCGTTGAAGACTCGACTTATGAGAGATGTGGACATGGCAGTGAAAACTCTTTACCTACAACTGAGAGCAGAAGGCCTACCTGTTACTCGTGTTCATAGTGATCGCGCAAGAGAGTTGAGAGGAGCTGATCTACGAGCGTGGCTACTTCATCGAGATGTGCTCCCTACATGTGGTGAGGCCCAAGTTCCTCAGACCAATGGAAGAGCAGAGGCGGCTGTGAAGCAAGCAAAGAAGAGGGCGAAAACCTTGTTGATGTCAGCAGGGTTACCGCGGGCATGCTGGCCGTGGGCAATGGCTTATGGAGCATACCAGCAGAGAGAGTTTGCTTTGTCCCGGGGGGCTTCGGTCATTCCGTTTGGGTCACCTGTCCACGTTCGGAACAAGGTCTTCGGCACGGGAGACAAACATGACTTGGACAGTCGCTGGAAGGAAGGGATCTATATGGGTCCGGCACCAGATATACGAAATGGACACACAGTTCGCTTCCCTGAAGGAAGATATGTCAGCAGTATGCACCTGAGAACAAGAGTGGTGGACATTGACAAAGAACTCAAGCTCGATGAAGTGGATATGGACCTCCCTTCACCGTCGAGGCGATTGAGAAGGAAGTCTGCGTCTACCAGGGTGGACACCGGACCGGGAGTTGGAGGAGATCAAGACAACCTACCAGCAGAAGATTTCGATCCACATCATGATCCACCTGGGAAAGATGCAGACGATGATGGGCGAGGAGTGTTTGGAGAAGATGATGAAGATCTGGAGTTTCCAGTAGATTGGGTGGATGGTCCAATAGCAGTGGACAATCTTTTTGACGACCTACCAGCAGAAGATTTCGGTCCACATCATGATCCACCTGGTCCTTTATATGAAATGGATGCAGCTTTACCGTCGGGGGTCCCTTCAGATGATGCAGCTTTACCGTCGGGGGTCCCAGGGCGACGTGTAACGGGCAAGTCTACCTTGAAGGTTTTGAGACCGCTGTCCTTGCCAGAACAAGAAGCTGAAGCGGTGGCGGAGGCCTGTTTGACCCAAGGTGACTACACCCAAGAGTCAGTCATGCGGCTTTATGGTTGCTTGGAACGTGCTAGGCAACTGTTTTCGAGGTCAAGTACCAGAAGGCCCTCAACGAGGACCACTTCATGGATAACCGGGATGTTCTCACATGGAGGAGTTTGTGGACTAAGGGATGGAGCCAAGCGCCTACCTAAGGTCACCCGGTACCTTGCAAAGTTCGCCAAGGATGTTGCAGGAGTTCAGCAGTTTGGTGCCGTGGCATTGTAAAGAACGCCAGCTTGGGTTGCCATCGCGATCTACACAATCACCCTGGAAGCTACAATGCCGTGTACCCCATCAACGAGTTCAAGGGTGGTGGTATATGGATACACGGTGATCCCGATGAAGACGAAGAAGTATGCCGCAAGCAAGTGAAACCGGGGCTGTGGAAGGACGGAGTGCTAAGGGAGTTCGGGGACAGCCGGACGATCTACTTTTCTCCTCGACAATGGCATGAAGTTCAACCTCATGATGGAGATCGTTATGTGCTTGTTGCCTACAGTCCACGGTGTTACAATCTACGCGGTCAAGATCGAAGGCAACTGAGTGAGTTGGGTTTCAATGTGCTGAAACCAAAGGAAGATGAAGGAGTGCGCATGGGTCTTTTCAAGAAGGGTGAAGTCGAGAAGGTCGAGAAAGCAGCTTTGGAGTTGAACGAAGCACACCAGCAGTTGTTCGAGGACCTCCAAGAGCGGGCCTACGCACTACGGATTCTTCTTGAGGAGGAGCAGGCGCTAGGAGAGGACCTCAAGGATGCAAGTGCCGCTGTGAAGACCGAAGTCGATACCATTACCCAGGCTGTTGAGAACATGATCAAGAATGTGGATGAGAAGCTACAGCAAGGTGATGCAGATCGAGTGCGGCTTTGTGCATTGGCGACACAGGTGCAAGAGGAGCCTGATTATGAGGCCATGATCGACGCGATGGAGGGTGACTTACAGGTGGTACACACTGTGCCATTAAACCAAGTCCGACCTGCAGTTGATCGTTGGGATGAAGCCATAAAGAAGGAGCTGAAAAGTCTGTTTGACACAGGAACACTGAGGAAGATATCATACAAGGAGGCACAAGCTCTTCAACGTGATGGGCAGCTACGTTTGGTACCAAGTAAGGGCGTTCACACCCTGAAACCTCCAGATGTACCAGGCCGTCGTTTGAGGAGGAGATACAGACTCGTCCTTTGCGGAAACCATGCAGACAAAGAGGAGGGCTACGGTTCTTTATATGCTGGCGGTGCTTCCATTGAGACGTTCAGGGGGGCATTGACCTACGCATCTTTTCGGAAATGGAGAGGGGCATCCTCGGACATTTCATCTGCCTTCCTCCTTGCTGATTGGCCGAAAAGTCTTTCACGATATGCCGTGTTGCCGCCAAAGTTTCTGGTGGACAATGGCTACGTGGCTCAAGACGAGTGCTGGCTTGTGGAGAAACCTTTATATGGACTGAGAGAGTCTCCTTCGATATGGGCGACCTACAGATCGAACCGGTTGGCGTCGGCCAAGATTCCCTAGAAGAATGGCTTCATCACTTTGGTACCCTCCAAGGTTGATAAAGAGGTTTGGATGGCATTCGATGAGAAGGGCAATGAAAGAGCTAAGGGCTCGCTTGTTGCCCTCCTGGTGACCTATGTAGATGACCTCTTCTTCCTGGGAAGCACGAGTGTGGTGGAACTTCTTGATGAGTGGGTGAGAAAAGAGTGGCCTTGCTCAGGGCTTCAATGGGCTGATGGTGAAGATGGAGTCCGCTATCTTGGAACGGAAGTCTATCAAAGGGCTTCTGGAGCATTTGAGTTGAAACAGACGGGCTACATCGAGGACTTGCTGAGGGCCCATGAGATGACGGATGCGTGCCCTACCAAGTTGCCGTGCCCCAAGGAGTGGATTTCCGAGGACTTCGAAGCCTACGAGGAACAGTTTAACGAGGCGGACCTAAAGCAAGGACAACGTGCAGTCGGGGAACTTCTCTGGCTTACTATGAGGACAAGACCGGATTTGCAGTTTGTTGTTGGGCACATGTCACAGTGGGTGTCGAAGCATCCAAAGAGGGTCGAAAAGATCGGTCGCAGAGTGTTGGCCTACCTGTCTGGCACAAAGGAGATGCGATTGGTCCTCGGCGAGTTCGGTGATGTGGACACAGCGAACAAAGCATACGAAACAAGCAGCAGCCAAAGCAGCAGCCACCACAGCGCGCACACAACAACCCAAGATGCACAGGGTTCTACTGAAAGTACGGGTTTAACGGTGATAGCATACTCCGATGCTAGTTTCGCCCCGACCGGATCCCGTTCCTATGGGGCCTCCGTGGTTACAGTAAACGGCAGCCCGATTGCCTGGAAAGCAGGTCGTCAAGGGATGGTCACATTATCAACCATGGAAGCAGAGCTGCTGGAGGCAACTCAAACCGCCGTGCTGACAGAAGGACTTGCGTGCTTGCTAGACGAGTTTTGTGGAAGAAGAGTGGAGCGCTTACTTAGGGTGGACAATGCTGCGGCCACCAGCATGTTGTTGGGTGGTCCAGGTTCCTGGCGCACAAGGCACCTCAGAGTGCGCAGTGCACACATCCTGGAGAGCGTTGAGTCTGGACAGCTTCGTGTGGAGTTTGTAGAAGGACTTAGGCAGCTAGCTGATTTGGGAACCAAAAGCCACCCAAAGGCTAGGATGTGGGAGCTATTGCGTATGTGGGGCTTTGAGAGCTTGCCGTCTGAAGCAGTGCAACTACAGGTGATAAGGGCAGTGTTGCTGAGCCTGGTTACGTTGGCTTTGGATGGGGCACCGAAGGCTCAGGCCCTCGAGGAGAAGGAGCCGTTGAAGGCAACAGGCGTTGACGAGCTGGTTTTGCTTGTAGTTGGCTGTTGTCTACTTGCAGTGCTTGGTTGGGAAATCATCAAGTGGATTAGCAAGTGTGCTTGGACCCGTGCAGTTAAGGGACGAAAGGCACAACGACTTCAGCGCATGAAGGACTTAGCCAAGGCAGCTGTTGAGAATGAGTTAGATCGAGTCTGGGACGTCCCGCAAGAGGCGTTTCAGGGAAGGTCTCCTGACAAGGAAGTGGAGCAAGCGGTTCATGGTGCAATGACTTCTGCTATGAGCTCGGCCCCGGTGTTGTCACATGCACGACAAGAGGGAAGCAAAAGGACTTTGAGCCGTGCGGGCAGAATGATTTCCACTGGAACGCAAACAGATGATTGGGAGAGGCCACGTGATGTGCCCGAGGACCCTTATGAGTATCTGCGTTTCCCAGGGCCGTTCTACTTGACAGAGCATGGCAAGAATGTGCACACGAGGCAAGACTGTCACGGGTTTCGCCTAGCATCGCATCGTGTCAAGACCATCGGGTTTTGCGACTGGTGTGATGGTGCTGCACCGCTATATGTGAGACGAGAAAGACGAAGGGCAGCTCGAAGCACCCTGGGTTGAAGATCCCAACCTGCCCCAAGTCTCTTTTGATCCACCGAGACCCACGATGGCTGGAAACCATACTGGCTTTGAAGGGAAGTGGATTGCAACAGCTTCGTGAAGAGCTGGTTAATTAATTGTGGAAGGAACCCGAAGGGAACCTTCCAAGGAGGAGTGTAGAAGTCTGCTGTCATGATGATAGCTTCACGAAGGCGTTTCTGGCTGAAGTATGACTTCAGGAGTAGAGCATGTGCACATAAGACAGTGCATGTTGCCATCTTGAGATACTCAGCATAGATCAGGCTTTCGCTGTGGAGGAAAGAAGGTCTTGCATGCGCCCATGGTCTTTTCTTGAATTCACCCAAGCCTTTGAATGCTGGGTACCATGTCAGCTTATCATTCTCCTATAAGCCCTGCGAACGAAGAAGAACCCCTTGATCAAGATCATCGTCAACAACATATTGGTAATTGTTCTGCTTCAGGGCCAGAGCTTCGGTCAGCCAGAGGCCTTCATGGGAGAGAGCATAACACTGGACTCACTTATGCTCTCTCTCTCTCTCTCTCTCTCTCTTTCTCTCAGGTGCTTCAGAACGCGGTCCTCATCATTCCTGGTGTAGGCCATGTGGTACACCTGCAGCCGATTGAACACGTTTGAGACTCGACTAAACCTATGAAGTCATGTCGTTCCTGCAGGAAACCTTCTCTTTCGTGGACCCTTCGCAGAGATCACTCGCGGATGGTACGCCATCGTTGGCAGCAGTCTCAGCCGCGCATGCTCACACGACTGTTTTGGAAGCTGTGTTGACAGTTGCACAAGAGCGAATCTGAACACTGTGTGCATGAACCTAGACCTAGACATTAACAGAACACGCCGCGGTGTGAAACGCGATAAAGACTGGGTAGACTAGCTAGTCAGCTAGTCGACTGCCTATAACATGACATAAACCCCGTAGGTGTAGCGCCTATCGGCCCCTCGCCAAGTTCTTTAGCGTGGTTACAGGTGTCACCATCCTGATGAACATGCTTTTGAACTGCTTCGTGCCGGCCGGCGTGACTGTCGCCAAGATGATAGTCAATGTCTTCATGAGGCAAGACCCTCCCCGCTGACGATGCCAAAGTAGCTGTAGGTTGAGCCCACAAGTGATTGATCACGGCGATTTGTGACTGTCGCAAGCTGTTGTCCACTACTTGTGTCTCGCAGTGCTTGATCTCGTCATGTTTCTATGCTTTCCATAATGACCCGTGCAGGAGAATCGGAGGGTGCTAATGACTGCGCTGCTTTAGGCTGAAGTGCAGCAGGTAAGGGAGTCTGAGTCTGGCAACGATGATGCTGATAGCAAGGACAGGATGACAGGTGAACGTGATGTGTTGTTGTCGACGACGAGTAGCTGCAGTGGTACTTTGTTGCTTGCCCTTGCTCGGGTACTCCGACTCCGTGTCCTTCTGATTGTCCTTGTTGTCTATTCTACTCTATTTGTCGTGTCACACTTGAGTATAGCTGATGGATCGAGTGCCAAAGATTCTGATCGTACCCAGCAAGCAACGAAGAGCCAAGCAGACGTAGACCCTTGAGCAATCTTGAGCAGGTGTTTCTTCAGAATGGGCGTCGCTCACCAGGCAGCAACTTGTGCCGGGCCAACCCGCAGCAGGTTGTTCAGCGGACTGCTTTGATGCATCCCGTGCCGAGTAGTCGGAGAGGGACATCTTGCGCTGCAAGAGCTGCTTCATGGAGACACTGCGAGGCAGAGCTGCTGGAGCTGTACACCCACCCGGAGTTCGACATCAAGCAGAAGTGCCCACACAGTGGTGTCTAGTTTTCTAGTAGCGCATGTGGAAAGGAAGGCTGGCCAACGCACAGATAGGGGCGTCCAGACAAGCCCGCGAACAGCTGTGGCTGTGATGTGACATACGGCAGCCGTCTGCTGCTCTTGCCAGGTATGCACAGCTCCTCACGACCGTTTTCGTTACACTGTGCTGACCTCGACCTCGAAGCCTTTGAATGGGTCTAGTCAGTGTCCATATGGAAAGCAAAAGAATACATATGTCAGTGTATCATTACGACATGACCATTATGATAGGGTGTACGTATTGAAGCTTTTTCGGATACGCAAATACTTCAGGAGAGACGGAGCAAGACAAGACGTATAAACAGTGCTAAGATGGCGTCACTGTCTCCAGCAATTAGCAGGCAATGTTGACACGTAGTAGCAGAATACCACTCCATCGTGCAGGACTGGCAGCAAACAGGCATTCAAGTAGGCAATGACACAGAGCGATGTAGCAAGATTTTAAGGCAACCGCCGAAAACTGGGATCGGTAGTAGCTGTGACAGCAATAGACGTTTACCATGTGTCTGCAAATCGGCATGAAGCACTTCCGGAACTCTTTCGGGTCTAGGTCCTGTCTCAACCTGAGGAGATCGAATCTGGAGCCTCGGACCCTGAGCCCTAAAGTCCCAAGCAACCCTGAAAAGCCCCAAAGATGACGCCTATACGGCTTGAGCTATGAGTCTTCGAAGCCCAGGATGTATGGAGCTGGGCTTCCGCTTCTGTACTTCATGGCTTGTGTGCTCCGGCTGCAAGGACATCTGCAGTGAGGGCACTGTGGAGGTCGATAGGAAGATGTCTGTCATAGCCCCAACGTTCGCTTCCATGGCATTCCGTCAATCCAAGGCCTTCATGTTCTGCCAGTGCGCCGGCCAGAGCATCCGTGAGACGGTCGCAATCGTCGTGCAGCGGTGGCAGTTTAGGGGCGAAATGCAGCCCTCCATTACCAAAGTCGCAACTTTGCCTCTTTCGGTAAAGGCTTGGCAAGGCATGTAAAGACTGCCATGGCATGTGTCAAGATCCTGGCTTCAGTCCTCCTCTCCAGCGGTCTCACCAGGTACTGGGCGGACAAGTACTGCTTGCTTTGGGGCTCCCGAAGGCGTGGTGCGGTGGGTTCAGGTTCAACGGGTTTCAGCTGTGGGGCAGGAGGGAAAGTACCCACCTGACCTGCAATCTGCAGGCCTCCGCACTACGATACCAAGATGGCCACCGAGGCCATCGAAAGCATGCTTTACGTCGCAACCTCGGCAGTCTGCATTAATTGCATACTTGCATGTTTCTGGGTGCTCTCCGTGCCCGCTAAGAGCACAGTCTTATGGCAAATCACTTATTTGCAAATTTGTGCGCTGCACTCGGACTGCACCGAGGCTGTTCCTTTTCACTGTGTGCTGGCAATTCTGATGTGCGGCGGGCGAATTTCAGAGTTGCCGAGAGGGTTCCTCGGTGCTGTTCGTGAGGGTGTCGGCTAAGCTGTGGCCAGGTACGGCCAGACGTGCGTCTTTCCGTCCAACCCCTTAGGAGGAGCTTGTTGCAGTTCTGGTTGTGTGCTGAAAAGACGGAACAGATCCGAGTCCTTTTGCCAATAGCAGCTTCCCTCGTTGCGAAGGAGATCTGGGGAACCTGGTGGATGAGGCACATCAAGCGAAAGGAACCCTTTCCTTCTTCGCTTGTACATGGCGCTGCTGTCCGCCAGGGATCCGGCTACACGCCGGGCATGCTCCAGCAGTTCATCCCGCAGATCACGCGTGAGTCAGCACCTCTTGGGGTCCTCTCGCAGGATGTCGATAGCGGCCGTAGCGCATGATCTCTACATAGCTGTTGACTGCCAAGTCCACAAGCGCCTGTGTCTCGGACCCTAAGATTTTCTGCAAACCCGTTTCCGTTGTCATTTATTATCTTGTTACCCCTTGTTCGCACTCAACGAGCTCACAGTTCCGTATTTGGAAATGTATGGTCTGTGGTACCAACACCGAACTGCCTGGCCCAGGTCCACGTGGATGTTCTTCCTCCTCTTCGTGCTCTTGGTCGTCCTGTGGGCTTGGGCCGAAGCGAACATGCCGACCCAGTCATGACATGTCATGACGGGGTCCTAATCCATTACGGTTTGATGGTTTAGGGCCTAAGTTTAGGGGTTGATTGGATCTTGAGGGCTAAGGGCGTATAGCGTATAGGGGTCAGGGTTTCGGGTGCGTAGGAGTTTGCGGCGGACACGATGATTCTGAGAGAGTTGCGGCCAGAGGTCTTGTGGCTGGTTCTCTGGATCATTGGCGGAACCGCCTCCACGGCGTGGGACCTGATAGTCAGGGCCTCGGCTGGCCTAGAAGAATCGGAACCGATCATCTCTTGCGAAGGAATTCAAGCTTGGTTTAGGGGTAAAATGTTATATAAGTACCAGAGAATCCGCTGCACGTAATCTTTGGTACCGTGTTACGATGCCCCTGTCCAGCCTGATCGCAAAGGAATAGTTGCATCAAGACCATAGTCTGAGGGCTGGTGGCATGGGGTTTTTCCATGTCTGGAAAGGGTTCAAGGTGAATGGGAAGGCCTCGCACGGAACCTCCCGTGAAGATCTCCGGGATGCATTTACTACGGTCGGCAGAAGGATGCGAGCAGCGACATCTCTGGCTGCCAAGGTTGACGTCTGCTGCCCGAAGTGGAAGAGGAGCCCGTAATCTGAGCATCCTGTATGGCTCTGATGCTGTCTGATGCAATAATCATGCATGGACAGATGAGTTGATTCGCACCGTGCAGGTTTGTTCTTGAGAGGTGGAGCATTGGGGCGCGCGGTGAGCCGCAGGTCTCAAGTTTATGTGCAGGCCTACAGGCCATGGCCAGCATAGGTGCAAGAAATCCTGAGCAGTCCACATGGGAGTTTCCGAAAATAGGGGACCCATAATATAGTACCCAAATATTGGGATCCTTCTGAAAAGGACCCCAAAAGAGGGTACCCCTAATTTTCGAAAACTCCAACATAAGTACTGGTGCCTAGGTTGACGTCTCGGTTCCAGGGTTTTGCATTCGGGCTAGGGAGCCGCTACTGATCGAGAGGAAGCAGCCCAGCAGGGACGAGATGGTGGCAGCCTTGAAAAAAGGCGAGAGAACGTATCTCAGCGGCATGCAGCGGCTTTATTGCGCTGGGCAATTAGGCTTTGCCTCTTCAGCTGGAGCATGGAACTTGCTTGGCTTTATCCAGGGTTTGTTCGCTCTGTAGGTGTTCGTAACGGGAAAGCGCATGCAGGCAGGCTTCTCTTGTCATGCTTCCAAGGCTCAACGGATACAGCATCGATGTCGCCAGCAGTGCTGGCCCAAGAGCAGCCTTATTGGTTTGTTCAGAGTTCAGGGATCACGTTCTTCTGGTGGTTTCAGGGCTCCCTGTTGGCAGTGTCGTTGTGCCCGTGCTGCCAGCCAGAACCCACAGCCCTCCAAGCCGCCCTGCCCAGCGATGAACTGGGATGAAGCGTTCTTCCACATCGAGAGCAGCTTTCCACCAGCATCTTACAGGCCGGCGGCCAAGATTGCATGTTTGCTGGCAACGTTTCGGGCACAGGGCCTGGCTGCAGAGTCGCCCAATACAGGGCACGGCATCAGACTTCTTCAGATTAATCTGCTCCGGAACAGAACAGGTCTGAAGGCTTTCCGACCACATGTTCTGCAGTGTGGCTCGAAGGGTCGTGTTAGATCCGTGTCACTGCCACTGACTGTTGTGGCTTCAGGGCCTTGCAGGGGCTCTGCCGGGATCATGCGCGGCTTTCGCTTTGCCTCGCGCAGCGCGGCCGCAGCGACCGGGGCCCTTGGCTCCGGGGTCTTGGCGGCCGGACTGCATTGCAGCGCGAGGAAGCCATCGAGCTCTGCCCAGGGCACTCTGCACTGGGACCAAGGCCGATGGGGCTCGGGCCAGCGAGGCTCCGTGGAATGCGAAGCGGCGAAGAAGAAGCTGACAGTTGCCGAGCTGTTGGCACTGAAAGGAAAGCGGCAGATTGTGCTGACCACTGCGTTCGACGAGTGGACGGCACGTGCGGCGGAGCAGGCTGGGGTGGATATGATTGTCGCCTGGGGCAGCTGTCAGGAGCACAGCAAGTTCGTCGTTGAGGCTGTACGAAGAGGAGCACCTAACACGCTCATTGGAACTGGGATCAATCCGGGAGCTTACGACGCTCGGCATTGCAGGATTGTAGATTCCACTTGCTGTAACTCAGCATAGAGAGAGGAGTTACAGTTTAGATAATGAGCGACAGTAAGACACACCCTACAGGAAGACAGAGGGACAGAGAGATTGAGATAGATTCAGGACCACAGTTTTGTGAAGTCGATGCTAGCTACAAGGAGAGCCAGGAAAAGGCCCTTCAGCTTGCCAATGAGATGCGGGCCGCCGGCACTGACATCATCTACTGCTCAGGCCTTGTCCCAGAGAAGTTTCATGGGCTCGCAAAGCAGCACTTCCCTTGCTGTGGTCACGTGGGCTACCTTCCTGTGAGTCTTGGCTGGGGAGTACCAGTTACTGCTTCTATGATCACATGATGCTGATACAGTATAAACCCTTTATCTGGAGTCATGGGCAAGGATACCTTTAACTTCAACGAACATCATTTGTACATATTTATATATATATATAGATATTTATATATATATAGTGCACCTCAATGCATCGATGGCCCTTAGGAATGACACCTGGCTTGGCGGCCCAAGAGCAGTCGGCAAGACAGCAGAGGAGGCCAAGAAGGTCTACGAAGATGTCATGGCCCTGGAGGCCCGTTTTAAGACGGATAAGGGTATTTGAAGTAGTGTTCAGACTGTATAAAGTTTTCCTCGAGCTTGCCGGTCAACAACCCTGTCTGAGGCAGCTGGTTGCATAGCCGTGGAGATGGAGTGCGTTCCTGCCAAGGTGGCGGCGGAGATTAGCAAGCGCACGAAAATGCTGGTGTTTTCCATGGGGAGTGGTCCTGACTGCGACGGCCAGTTTATTTTCTCGGAGGATCTCATGGGCACGAACTCAGGACACTACCCCCGCCATTCCATCACCTATGCGAATCTTATGGCAGATGCCGTGCAGGCATTGAGCCAGTACTGTCAAGACGTGCGGCGCGGCGCGTACCCTGCAGCAAAGCACTGCATCAAGATGAAGGAAGAAGAGTTCAGGTGCTTCAAAGACAGCCTCAGCTGAGGGGCTTGTCCGAATTGGTTTCTTATGATGTGTGAGATTCGCACGGAGACAAAACTCGGGCGAACGAGAAGTCCCACCTGGCCTGCTTTCTCCCGCTTCCCTAATTCGGGTTGGATTGCTCGGTCAGGTTTATGACGCATTTCGGACACTCCGAACCCCAAACTCATGATCGGAATTTCACATCTGCACGCATCCTCAACGAAACCACTAGCCCCGCTATCCATTGAATTCAGGCTGACTTATTGAGCTCCTTTACGGCTTGACTCCTGTGTCCCATGCCAGAATCCCAAGCAGCTGCCTAAGGGCTCAACCTTATCTCTCTGAGACCCTCCAAGACTACAAAACCCCTGACATGAGCCTCCCTTTGCGTCTGTACTAAGCGCGGACCTGCTCATCCTGTTTATGCATGTGTCACTTGTTGGTTTAACGATGGTAATCATCTGCACATTCATGCTGCCTACGTTTGTGCCTGGCTGACATGTGCATGCGTACATCTCGTTAGCTTCTTCGATTGATTCTATACGTGTGTATGATGTTTACACAACTTGTCATGTTTACAAAACTAGTTCACTATAATACACTACTATAAGCTATACTTTCATATGATATGATTTGATTTGGTCTTACATGATACAACAAAACTGCGAGTATAGATTGACAGATAAATAGCATATATAGCATACCGTATGTAGAGAGATACATGCACACGCGCACTCAAGGTTCGAGCGGCACCCGGCCCTGGTCTCCGTGGCTCCACTGCTGAGACCTGCGAGCCTTGACCCTCGGATCTCCAGGGCGGAAACATAGACCCTGGGGGTTCCTTAAAACGATAGTCACCTTAGGATTTTTATTTTGTTCACATAAAACCCAAGAGAATATGAAATATAGTCTTTTAGTTATGGTTCCAAGGGGGTATAGAAAAGGAGATCTATAAAGGATACTATAAGGGTTCTAAAATAGAGGGGCTTACTAGTTACCTAGACTACTTGGGGGGTTCCTCAATACCCTATTCTAACTATTGAGGCCCGTATATTGGACGACTTGGAGGTTCATGGGTAGTTGCAAGAGGAGAGTTACAAGTCCCCGAATATGGGTCATAACTACAAACTACTTATAACTACCCATGAACCAGCCAATTAACCTGAAAGGATCGAGTCATAGAAACGTCGCGACCAAAACTAGGGATGTGGCAGGGAGAGTGACAGAAGTCATCATCATCCTTGCCGCACCCGCATTCATAATCGCCTTTAGCACCATTACCAAAAGCTGCATTATGAGTCAGCTCTGCAGACATAATGCTCGCAGTCAGGATGTATGCGTTTATGTTGTACACAAAAGGTGCCACTAACAAGGGGCATCCGAATGGCAATCATGGCATCATGAGAGTCTGTCTTGTTCATGGAGTTCTCCTCTGCCGCGAGAACCGAGAGTGAATTCCAGGTCAACCAAACACCGCCAGGGGCAGTCAGCCACGCCTTGTTTGCATCAATGCTTTGTAAGAGCGGCATGCAAGCCTGCAGTGCCCGTTTTCTAGCCCAAGCAACTCAAAGAGAGTACGTGGTCGGCATCCTCGGACCTGAATGTGTGTCATAATGAGAATTGACACCTCGAAGCTTCAGTATGCCCTTCGGCTGGTGTCCTGATGTCATCGCGCCGTTCGAGTGGATCGAGATCATGCCAGCTTCATCGCCCTACCAGTACCTGCAAAAGGATCAAATCCTCGAACTGCGGAAATTTTCCCGAGTCCCGCGCTTTTCAAGAGCCGGTGTGCCAGGCCCCAGCGATGCTGCCGAAGCAGCCCTGCGGACGGCGGTGCGCTGCAGGGGGGTTCGACTCGTAACAGGAACGACCACTCTTATGATGATGCTGACGATGACGACAACATGGTGATGGTCGTGATGGACCTCGTGGTGGTGGTGATGATGATTAAGACGACGCTAATGCTGCTTGGGTTAAGGAGGGCACAGGACAACTATGGGAGCGAGGGCGAGAGTATGTGTGTTGGATGCATCATTCGATGGCCATGGTTGTGACGACGACGACCGCAGGCATACTGTTCGGAAGCCGTGTGTTCTGCTGTTCGTCCGCTACCATGACGTTGAGTAATGCATTCATAGGTGAATCCGGAGATGAGTGGATACGTAGAGGTAGCATGTCTACGCATATCTATACTATACATACAGATTAGGATGTGGCTACATCTGTGTCATGACTGTACAAACAACAAAGTAACGAAGTGCATGAAGTCAACCAAGCAATAATAATTGAAATCGCAATAAACGAATCAGTATACATAGATGTGTATAAGTACATGTATTGTTTAGTTTAGTGCAAATTACCTAAGTACGTAAGGAATACATATGCCCGTCGCAGGACGTGGCTATCCAATTCGACACCTTTTGCTTGTAAACATAATGACATGTGCCAATGCTTGCAGGCGCGAGTTGGTCTGCCGCAATGTTACACCCTCTTTGCTACAAAAGCTCTTTCTGAAAAAATCTGAAAAAGGGCCCTAGCAGTAGAACACGCATTTAGAAGAAGCCTGTTGAGGATTATCCCCTCGGCTCGGCAAGCTTCCCCACACCAGTATAGGCATGATCCATGACTTCATGAAACACGAGAAGTTACCGTGAACATCATTATAGGCATGATACCTCGTTTTGAACCCGGAGAAATTTCATGAGCACGACAACTGATTCAACTCATCCGTGGCGAGGCAGAGGTCTCCAAGGAGAACGAGGCCGAGGCGACCCAGGCACCGACGTCCGCGCCGGTGCCCGACAACGTGGCGAAGAACTTCCTCAAGGTAGCTTTTTCGGATCTCGGGTTGATGGGGTTAAGGGTAGTTAATGTAAGGCAGCTTTTTTCGGCTCCAGCTTTATGGGTCTTGAATGTAAGGTAGCTGTTTTGCGGATTTAGCTCTATGGGATTTGGGAATTTAATGTAAGGCAACAGTTGAAGGTGTTTGGATGGTTTAGGGTTAAAGGTAGCGTTGGGGGTGAGCAAGTTATGGGTGTAGGGGGGGGGGGGGCTGGGGAGATGCGCTTTTTGGCTTCTGGGTTTGATTCGGGCAACTCAAGGCGTCGGTGGTTTGGTTAGGGTTCCTTAGGGGGGGATAAGGATTTCAGGCTCTGCGGTGCCGGTAGCTGTGCTTTCGGTTCAGTTTAGTGGTGTTATTCGGTACTGTTGCGGTGTGACCAAAGCTGCCTTCCTCATCCACCCACGGCTCCACCCCGAAACCGAACTGGCAGCCGAAGGCGCTCGACGAGGAGTACGTCCAGAGCAAGGGTGCCAAGGTCAGGGCACCAAGTCAGGGGTGGTGGGAAATGCTCTGCTGGTAGCTTCGAGGCCTTGCAGCCAAGAATGGCGATTGCCTTGTGGCAGCACTCAACACACGAGACATAGTGCTAGGTCGGCGACTTCTTCGACAGCGAAGGCTACCAGGTCGGACAATCCCTTCTCAGATCCGGTCCATTTCTGAAAGCGTGATTTTTCAAGCTTCGGCACCTGTCCACTCAAACGGTCCGCAGTGAAGTGATTGTTTCGGGGGCACAACGAAGAGCATACTGCAATGCACGAGCGACGTGCCTGCAAACGCAGGATCCGCTGTCGCCCTTCGAGGAGAAGGTGCCCCATATCATGGTTTGATCTGCGACAGGTTGAGGGAGAGAGCAGTTTAGCAAAGATGTCCCGGACGAAACCCTGAATCCTGGTTCCATGTGTTTTTCCGACTTTGTGAGAGGGTGCCGTTTCGTGCGGTGAGCGACTCTGGCACCTTCTATACATCCTAGTCTGTTTGGTCTGCCGGTCGATAGTAGGTCTTATAACAGTATGTCCACAACATGGAGTCCAGTAGAAGACTAGATACATGAACATATAACGGACGCTCAGCTACCATCCACCTCAGCGATGGTGTCCGGTGGAACTCGATTCACACACTCACCGGAGCACAGCACATGCTTACTCGCCGGGGCTTCTGTCCGACCATGTCCGTTTGCATCCGCGGTGTAGACTTCTGTGCCTTCTATATCACACTAGTCTAGGTATGCATGTCTTTCTCCGGCAGTTTTTCTGTGCCACAGACAGTCAGGCAGGGTGAGAGGGAGAGAGAGGAGAGAGGAGAGAGAGAGAGAGAGAGAGAGAAAGAGAGAGAAAGAGACAGACAGACAGAGACAGAACCAGATGCATTCACTTGGTCAACTGCGGTGTGCTTCGGCTTCGGGGGGAAACGGGGTAGTCCGACCTGCTAGAGCGAGAGAGCTGTTTAAAGGCATACCTTACCGGCGATGAGAGCTTGTCCAGCCTTCCGGACCTCAGGACGGCAAAGACGAAGGCGGCTAGTAGTCGCGAGTGCAGAACCAGTAAAATCGTCACGAGCCAGCAAGCAGGAGGGGGGAGTGAGGGAGGGTAAGCATCAGGAGAGCCAGGAAGGGAGTCAAAGAAAGGACAGACAGAGTGAAGGTGCAACTACAGAGTGTTTCAATTCTGTGCATGGCGCTTCCTTGATGGTTTCGAAGTCACTGCACGCAGCAAACGGAAGGTGCGCGCCGCTGAGAACAAGAAGGAAGCTATTGAGGCGATTGCCAAAGAATGGGGCGTCGAGTGTCCATGAGGACACTGGCATGCGGCAGGATTTAGGGGATTAGGCTAACGGCCGTTCGATGTCTTGACGAGGAAGCCACCAGAGACTCAAGCCATCCACTCATGTCGAAGCTGCAGATACTGGGATGCCTGTCGGCATGAGGTAGAAAACCATTCCTGCCTGCTTTGTTTTTTCAGCTTTGTCCGCGGAAGGACCACCCTACCCTTGAGTCAGCAGCGTATGCGAAGCGTTTTGAATTTCAATTAAGAGATGTCTAGCAGGAGGTCGCAGACGATCCTGTCACGTCTCACCGCTCACGTACAATGTATGAAGCTTCACGATGTGATGCTTTCAGAGTTTCTCTCGCAGAGGCATGACAGCAGGTCGGTTCTGGACACGTGAAGCTTCCGGCAAGGTT